CCATTATCCTTTCATTTTGATTAATTATTCTATTATAAAACTTTCTCACTTTATCTTTTATATATTTAATTAATTAAAATAATATTAATATTAATATTTTTTTATATAAATTAATATATTAATAACACTCTTAAAATATATATTAAAAAATTTATTTTTGAAAACAAAAATAAACGAAGCATAAGAAAAAAAAAAGATAATTAATTAATATCATTGTTATATATATAATTTTAATTGATTAATTAATCAAATTACAATTAATATTTATATTATTTATATAAGTTAATTATAAAGTAATATATTAATAACACTCTTAAAATACGTATTAAAAAATCTATTTTTGAAAACAAAATAAAACGAAGAATAAGAATTTATCTTTTTTACGCACGAATGAGATATTTGTGACATGACAATAATTTTTCAGCTTAATTTAACAAATCATCTATTAATTTTTATATTATTTTTAATTTTATCTATTATTTTTAAATTCTTTCAATTATATATATTATTTTTTATATTTATTTTAATTTAATTTATCCCGTTATCTTTAATGAAAATCTTCTTAGAATAAGAAAACATGAGGAGTGCTAGGGGCACTTGCCTCTGCACTCTCTGGCCAACACTTTCACTTTTATTGGGCCACGTTATTCTGGTTGGTAAGAGATTGCACCGCAAAGCCAAAAACAAGCTTACGTGGTCCAATGAAAAAGGAAGTGTTGGCCGGAGAGTGCAAAAGGTGAGTGCCCCTAGCACTGCTCAAGAAAACATTTAGTTTTTTAATTATATTTCTTTTGATTTTTTAGTCTTTATATTTATATTCACCATAAAAATAATTTTTATTTTTATTTTGCTAAATATGTTTTTCAGAAAATTGCTTTACAAAGCAGACTGTATGTAGATCGTCTTGTAAAATTATTTAAATGCCTTTAATTTTATATTTATATTATTTTTAGGGAAATTGAAATAATTTTATAAAACAAATTGCATATAATTTGTTCTGTAATCTGTCTTGTAAAACAGATTTATTTTTAAAACTTTTCATTTTAAACTTACTAAGTTTTTCTGTTTGATTTGATTTAGTTGTTCAAGTTTATTACTAGGGTTGGGCATGGTACGATATGGTAACCGTACCGCACTCAAATGATGGTAACCATTTTAAGTGGTAATGAAAAAGAGTTACCACTTCCATACCGATTGATGATTTTTTGGTAATGGCTGCCAACCGTTTTTAATGATAATGAAACTTGTTTTACCAATACCATACCATATTACCATCTTTAAACTTATTTTCTTCATTATCAATTAATTCAAGTCATTCAAAATTTAATCTTAAAAGCTCAAAATTATCTTAAAAACTTATTTTCTCCTTACTGTTCTTCATCATCTTGAAGCATACAAATATATAATTATACAAAA